TATTTGGTTTAATTTTTTAAAAATTATTTTAAATGAGTTTTTATTTGTTTTTAGTGAATTTTTATTTTTCATATTTTAGCTTTTAGCTTTTATTTATTTTTTTTAAATATAGTTAATCTTGATGTATCTAAAAACATTTAAAAAATAATAAAAATATACAAAAAAAATCACTGGAAAAACGAAAACTCATTTTAAAACAACTTTTAAAAAATCAAACCAAACAGATCATGTTCTCAATTCAAAAATATTTATTCAATTTCATTAAAGCTTTATTTTTATTTCTTTTCGTTTATATGATTGTAGCTAATGATATGTAATTATTCTAACCAAATTACCTAATGATGACAACACATAATTTAAATGATTAGCAAACTAAAACACTGCCAAAAACAAAAACACACACACACACACACAAAATAAATAAATAAATAAGGTTTTCCTTTCAAAACATTATGAAATTTAGTCATCAGTATTAGTTCTGGTTAGTGATTCTATTTTGTTTTAAACAATTTGTCATTACATTGAGTTTATGAGTCTTATGACCTGACAAGCCATGTATAAATAGTAGTCTAAATTGAATCATGATCTAGTTAAAAAAATGAGTCAGTTTCCAATCTATCATAAACCCACAAACTGAAAACATGAAAGAGACCATTTTTTTGGTTAGCAAACAGAATCGAAAGATCGAAAATTAGGACTGTGCAAAGAACCCACCAAATCGATTAGAAAGATCAGACGTTCCATGAAGTTTCATTAAGCTCTTCTCGTTCACATTCCGAATTTGATTAGATTGTTGTGATGGACAGGCATATCCAATCCACCTGTTACAATTAGACACTGATTTCACACCCACCGTTGGTGATGTCTTGTTTACTTGATTAATGGTGATGTAATGGATAATCTATTTATTTAATTAGCATGTTTGAATGGCAAGAGAAGTGTTTTTGATGATTTCGTGGGGTATGGAATATCAATCAGTTAAGAAATCAATTTTAATATTCATTTTATATACACGCCAATATAAATAAATAAACAAATCTTTCAACGTTTATATTTTGACTTGCCATCTGCATGAAATTGCATAATAATATGTATATGGAAACGCAGATGGGTTACCCATAATATATGTATGTTGATGCCATACTTACACGGCAATTTCATTATGATTTGGATTGTCTCCGGTTACGATTTGGATTATCTCCGGTTGGTTTGGTCAACTAGTCCGTAATATTGGGTTTCTATAGGTCCATCACAGGACCCACCATAATGACCCAAATTGTTCATTCGTAAAGATTTGAGCAAGGGCTGGTTTGACATGTTTAAGAAAAGTTAAAAAGTTAAAAAATTACTATCTTATTTAAATCTTATCATCTTATTTAAGTCACATCACCTCTCTAACGCATCACTTCAAACCCAATCCAAATCTAAAAAATCAAAAAATGCACTTATTTAGATCATCCCAAACAAACTACAAAAAAAAATAAAAAATCATATTGATCAAATAATTGCAACCATATGATCATATATTTTTAAATATATTGAATACCTAATAGACTTCGTAAATTTAGACGTCATATTAATCTTCAACATCTATATAATAAAGCAGGATGATTTTTGAATTTGTCTTACACACATTTGTTCTATTAGGACATTTGAACGACTCAAATCTATTCAAATTATAAAACAACGGCTGAGATATATTTTTCAAAAAATATCCTACATGTACATTTTCTATTTTCCCGCTTCTCTCTCTTTCTTTTTCTTTTTCTCACCCATCCTTTCATAATCTCATGATCCCACGATCCACTTTTCTCTCTCTTTTCTTTTTAATTTTTTTTTTCTCTCATTTTTAATTTTCTCTCTATTTGTTTATTTTCTCCTTTTTGTTCACTTATTTTTATTCATATTATATGGAAAAGTCTACGAACTCAGAATTAGGAGCCAGATTTTACTGTGTGTTGTGGAGATTAAATTAATGAATTTTATAGTTCACAAATTAAATGAATTTGAACAATTAATTATTATTTTTAAATATATTGAATACCTGATAGATTTCATAAATTTAGACCTTATATGAAGTTTAAACATCTATATAATAAAGCATGATGGTTTTTGAATTTGTCCTACACACATTTGTCCTACTAGGATATTTGGACGACTCAGATCCATTCAAATTATAAAACAACGGCTGAGATATATTTTCTAAAAAATATTCTACATGTACATTTTCTATTTTCCCATTTCTCTTTCTTATTTTTTCCTTTTTTCACCCATCCTTCCATGATCCCATGATCCCACCTTCCTCTTTCTTTTATTTTTATTTTTATTTTTTTTATTTTCTCCCATTTTTAATTTTCTCTCTATTTCTTTATTTTTTTATTTTCTTCTTTTTGTTCAATATATTTTATACATATTTTCATACAATGTATGTATGCCCGTAATATACTAGGACATTATGGGCATACATACAATTTTCATATAATTGTATAAGCAAAAGCAATATTGTATGTATGCCCGTGGAAATTATTTATATGCCAGGCATATTTATCTATCTAGCTATATATTATATAGGTAGAAGCGAGTTTTTGTGAGGAGTTTTGTGAGAATTCCAAAATTTTATAATAAATTTGTAATTTTATGAAATTAAAAAATAAATTTAAATAGTGTTGGGATTACAATTATATTATAATCCTAACATTATTTACATCGTGCTTTCAGGCATGGATATACATTAGTGTGTGTATATATATATATATTACATTTGTGTTCAAAATAATGGATAGTCTATTTCAAAATCATATTTGTCATCCACTTTTAATAGCAAATGTGATCTCATCATGTATTTATAGTTATTCAGTCAATTTTTGTTTTTGTGAAAAACAATATTTTAGAAAGGCTTTGCAAGATAAACGGTTTAAATTATTAAAGTGAATTCCGTGATCTTTAGACCACTAATTAGTGGTGGCTCTAATGATGTGGCAGTGGGTCCCATCAACTGCCACATGTGTTTTGTGCCTTGTTTTTTTTTTTTTTTCAATTGCCAGCTCACTAGTGATGGTATTAGTGATGGTAAATTAGTGGTCTATAGCATTGCTCTTCCGTAATTGGCTTGCAGATGCCCAAAGGGTTCAGTCGGATACAATCCAAATCCATTTGATTAACCTAAAAACTAACCAAATTAAGTGTCACTCTCTTTCACCCCCACAAACATACTTCAATACAAATGCTTAAATAAACCTGGAAAAATTAAAGTATTTTTCTCCCTAGTGATGAATCACCCTCATGTCCCATTGTTAAATATGTCAATTTGTTGAGCGTGTATAAATTTGTACATACGCATATATGCATGTATTGTGATGTAGATTTGAGCACTCATATAAGTATTCTAATTGGAATGAAACTAATTTGACCAGACTCCCAAAATATACGAGCTTTTCACTGTTTCTCATTAAGCAAAACCTAGTTTCATTGTGGCTGCTTTTTACCTTGAGACCAAAAGTAAAAGACCCCATTTCCAAATAAATAAATAAATAAAATCTGAAAAAAAAAACTCTTGAATTTTTTTTATAACATTTAGATGCTATTATTATTTTATTTAAAGAAAACACAATTATGTTTATTATTTAAAATGAAATCAAAATAACATGTTTGGTATACATGTGCTTGCAATAAATATAAAAAATGGAATAAATGATTTGAGAAAAATACAATTAGCCTCACATTTTAAAAATAATTGCATTGATCTCCTTTTTAATAAGGTTAAGTAATCAAAACTAAGACAATTGATAGGTAAACACTTAAATAAACAAATATAAATATATAATTTAATAGAAAATATATGACATCATTATTTTTATTCATTTATACAATTAACAAATTGTTAATGAAAATATTTTTTCCTCCTAAAATTCTGTAATTTTGAAAACTATTTACATTAAGGTTGGATACATTCCCCTTATCATTTATATTGATTTATACAAGGTTTGCAATGTGAAGAATGATAAATCCCAAAGAGCTAGGGAAGGCTTACTAATGGCTTATGAATATGTATATGTTCACGATATGTAGATTTATCTTTTTGAAACAAGTATAACTGAACATACATGGAAATGGAATGTTATAATAGTGAGTTTTGCACTATGCATTATCCATCTTGAGGTTGTGGTACCTATAAATGGAATGTTATAATAATGAGTTTTGCACTATGCATTATCCATCGTGAGGTTGTGTTTTGACAATTGAGTCTCCTTAAAACAAAGTAAATTACAATTATATTTTTGAGATTTGTTTAGAATATGATTTATTTTTTGTGGTTTTAAAAATTACATTCTACCCTTTGAATTTTTTTATTTCATAACAAATGGTCTATTTTATTAATAAATTATCAAGTCAATTAACAATTTTTAATAATGTTAGAAATTTATTTCAATTAATAATTCAGATAATTTTATTATTATATCGGAGTGTAATTAGGAGTTTTATTTTTTTAATTAATTTTTTTAAATAAAAAATTTTGACAGAGAAGTATTTATAATTTTTCAAATCACAGAGAATATTCTATATTTTAAGCAAATCCCAAAAGATGTATTTATAATTTTCCCTTAAAACAACTATTTTATATTGCAAACAAAATCAACCCACTATGGTTACGGTCTCAGAAAATTTATCAAAAAATAATTTCAAAATTATTATGTGTGATTGAGATGTAATAGATATTTTGTGGGATCCATACAAAAAATGAATCTCAATTACATTTTGATATTTTAAAATAAAATTTGAGATAAAAATTTTGAGCGTAGTAGGACTGAAATCAACCTTTCGCTAAGGCTAACAACACTTGTTCTAAAATGTTATCAATGAATTAAAAATTAAAAAAACCCAAATTTGTATATAACAAAATAGGTTATTAATTCTTAAACTAGGAGGGATGTCCTTTAATAATTCATAGCAGGTGCCAAATAGAGAGAGTAGAATAATCAAAATAGGTGGGAATTGATAGAGAGGTTCATGGGCCAATAGCAAAGCAAGAAAGGGTCAGTGAGTGGTAGTAATACAGAAAAACAAATAGGCTCAAAAAATGTGTCGTGCAAAACCAACAAAAGTGACTGCCCATCCACAACCCTAAACCAACCCAACCCAACCCTCTTTCTTAATCTGTTTGTTGCACATCTCTCTCTCTTCCTCTCCTTTAAATCTTGCTCTACACTTCTCTCTTTTGTATTTGATGTTCAAGAATTTCCATTCCATCAATAGCCATGGATGAAACTCTAGGTGGCTCTAGCGATGATACAAGGACTTGTCCACGTGGACACTGGAGACCTGCAGAGGATGAAAAACTCCGGCAGCTTGTCGAACAGTATGGCCCCCAGAACTGGAATTCCATTGCTGAGAAGCTCCAAGGACGATCCGGTATGTATATATCTTACTTGAATTTAAACTCTTTTCTGTTTGCCTATCATGGTTTTATATAACAGTATCGAGATATTTATCAGTATACAAATATATAATCATATATCGATCAATATCGATTGATATATTAGTATGGGAAGTTCAAAATTGTGATACGTATTTTATGGGTTTCTTGGATCATTCTTGATCTAATATTCAAAGTTTTAGACTGAATATTTTTTATGGAATGAATACAGAATCATTTAAAAATATACAAATTTAACCTCGCAAATATTCCAACAAGATAATTCTTCTATCAATTACTGAAAAGATTCATATACATGTATATTCTCTCTCCCTCTATCTTTCCCTCTCTCTAACTACCTACCTAACCTAACTGCCTACCTATCTATCAAGTTCTATGATATGGGTTTTTGATGTTTTTGATTGTATATACAGGGAAGAGTTGCAGATTGAGGTGGTTCAATCAACTTGACCCCAGAATCAACAGAAGGCCATTTACAGAAGAAGAAGAAGAAAGGCTTCTTGCAGCTCATCGCATCCATGGAAACAAGTGGGCACTGATATCCAGACTCTTCCCTGGTCGAACCGATAACGCTGTGAAGAATCACTGGCATGTTATCATGGCAAGAAAGCAAAGAGAACAATCCAAGCTTTGTGGTAAAAGAATTTACCAAGATACGATTGAAAGCTCCTCCAACGCTTCTCCCTCTTTTGGTTTTCGAAGAAGGAATTCAAGAACCCAAGAAGATTACAGCTTGAAATGCCACTTTGAGGGCATTAAGTTCTTTGAATTCCAAACCCTAAACAAAGATAGGATATTTCCAGTTTCGCCCTCCAGTTCGTCCCCTTCTTGGAATTTCACTAGACCAACTGCTTCAGCTACAAACAACTCTTCTTCAGTGGATTTATTTGGAAGGGAAGGTACAGATTACATCAATTCTAGCACATATTATTGCACTACAGATAGCTCAAATAGTTCAGACCAACCTCTATATCGATATGGTTGCCGGGATTTCAGTCCATTTGGGCTCCCAAACTACAAGCGGGTTGTTCCAAGTCCCTTTGGGTACTCTAAGCTTGGTGATGGTAATAGAGCTCATGGAGTGATCAAGAGAGATTTGGTTAGCTTTGGTGATAATTTGCACCCATTTGCAAAGATTAGAAGGGCTATGGATGAAGAAGAGAATCAAAATGAATCCGTCAAGCAAAAGGATAATATTCCTGCCTTCATAGATTTTCTTGGTGTGGGAATCTCTTGATCACCAAAACCCTAATTTTATTTAACTCTTTCCTTATCTATTATATATATAGATGATATTTTAGCTTCATATTTGCATTTTCTTATGCATGCCATGGCATACACTTGTCAATCTTTAAATTAAACCTTCTGAAATTACTCTCTGGTAGTTTGTGCTTGTAACTTACTAAATTGTAGAATCAAAAGAGATGTAAGGCATCCTTTCTAGGTTAGAGATAGGATCGAAAAGATTCAATTTGTTGCCTTTATGGATGAATGAGATTATTTTTATTTTACATTTCTTATCCCATGTTAATGAATGGACCTCTAATAACTAGATGACAACATTGTGAAATTTTGGGCAACAATGGCAATAACTTGTTGGAAGAATGGGTTTTTGTTGCTTCATTCAGTAAGTATAGATATCATGCACAGATCAGAGGAATCATCAGACTACTCATTACCAGGTATATTCTATCGCTAGCTTTGTATTTGTAAATGAAAAAATACTAGACACTAATAAATTTTCAAACAACCCTATATTTTGATTTTGATTTTGATTTTTTTTATATTTTTTATAGGCAAAAAAGAAACTTTATTTTATTTTTTTTATAACTCAGGTATCCCCAACCCGCTGATTTTAAGGGAAGCCAGGACTAATCCTGAGGGCCCTGAAAAAGAAACTTTATTTTATGATGAAGCGTGTACAAGACAATTTTTCTGTTTTTTATCTTTACGTTATTTTAGGCTTTATAATTTTATTTTACTCGATTTAGACTCTTTTACTTTGTTACATCTTCCTCCAACTTTAATTGTTACCATTTTTTTATGACAATTCTACATATGAGCAACATTTGTCATACTTTTTTAGATATAAAATTATAAATTTGATCAATTCAGTGACTTAACGTCAACTCAATAAAAATTTTCCGTCAAAATTCCTAAAGGTGTTATCAATAGAACAAATTGAAGCATAATCTAAATTTAATGATTAAAATTGAACCAATTAAAACTATAAAAACGAAAATGACACGAGTGACAAAATGTGTGTAATTTATCTTAAACCCTATTAAGTTTTTTTTATTAAAGTTGTAGTATTTGAAATGAGATCACTTGAATGATATGATCAACTAAGAATAGTTGTAATTTGTACAGCAATTATCCTTGTAAACTGATTGAAGATTTGTACATATGATCCGACAAATTATATATCTAAAGGACTGGAACCTGCTTCTATTCTTTTGTCTCTAACTTTGAAAATGAGAATGTCAATGTGTCATCATGCAAGAAAACCTTTAACAAGTGTGAACAAAAGCTACTTGTATTCTTCTTCTTCTCTCTCTCTCCCTAATAGGTGAGGGATTAGTAACTTACGTCTCGTTTGGAAATATATTATTTTAATAATTTTTTGACTTTTTTATTAAATATGAGATTAAAAAAAACTAATATGTTTGTGACGACTTTTTAATTTTTTACAAAATATATATATATATAAAGTAGAGATGAAAGGGAATGTTTGACATTTTTATATAGTTTGTAAGCTTTTTGAAAATTTTAGTGACTTTTTAACTTTTCATATTGCTAAAACAAAACATAATTAAAATGAGCTTTAATTCAAAGCCTTCATTGTCAGCTGAAATTTTAGACTTCGAGGTTTTAGCATATGTATGATTTCATATATAGTTAAATCACTTATCCACAGTTTGACCCATTAATCAAATTGGTTGGGAGAGAAGAAAACAGGAAAAAAAGAAGAAAAAGATCCACACTACGTGGTTTTGGTGTATTGCAAATCAAAACAAATCCCGGCCGTTAGATTCAGATAAAGAGAAAAAAAAAAAAAAAATTTGTTAATGACGATGGTTTTATCGGAAAATAAAGTGGTTTTCATGAATTTACCATCGAATTGATCCTACTTATTGTGATCTTATTTATTGAATTTTTGGTGTATTATAGTTGGACCCACTAAGACATGATAAATATTTTCCATTGACATTAAATTTAGAGCATAATACAGAAACACCTCTTTAGATTTGATAAAAAAATATATTAAAAAAAAAACTATGTAATTCACAAATTAGGAAAAATTCCCTAAAGTTTTTTTTTTGAAACTGAGGTGTCCGACTTCTACCGCTGGGCTTCGTCCACCGACTAATCCTCAGGGGGAGCAATCACAGCATCCCACCGCCGTGGCTCCCCGCTTAAATCCCAAAGTGTCCCAAAGGGGAATCGAACCCGTGACCGTGCGCCTAACCCACACAATCACGTCTTCACCCTTACCACTGGGCCACCTAGGGGGTGGGTAATTCCCTAAAGTTTAAACTCCTATTTAAGGCTGCATTAGTGTTTTAGATGCGTATAAACGTATCTTTGAAACTTGACATTGAAAAATGCTAATGTCTAACCACTTGACGGTATATATGATTGATTGTGATTTGATCTTAAATTTTATTTTATTTTGTAGTTTTTGAAAATAGTTGTTATATTTTTTTCGTCAAATTTCGAAGGCATTTTTGTTATTTTACTTAAAATATTATCAAAGATTTGGTTCTTATTTCCCTAATTTAAAATTTAAAAAATAATGATATTTGCATAAAAATTTCATTTTAGATGTGACGGAACCTTCTCAAACTGAATTTGGATCACACATTAATATTTTGGGAGATTTTGGGTATCTTTCTTTGATTATTTATTTATTTATATTTTTGGTAACATTTGTGAAACTTAAAAGTGATAGTGGAAAATGGATGATTCTATTTGCACCCAAAAAATTATTAAGTATACTTAATTTTTCAGTACACTTTATTAAATTATTTATGGTATAATTTACTCTCAATGCATCTTATGTTTTTTTCAAAGATTACCGTTCAAAGTACACCCAAATAATAAACAAATCAAAAATCCCAAATTACAGCACTTTGAAAACTTTTTCAAAACTAGTAAACAAATTTTTCATTACTACTATTTGTTTTATTCATATACAAAGAACGATTGGTGTTAGTTATTCTATATGACATCATATTTACTTATTTGTATTTCTATTATATTACTGATAAACCCATGAAACACTTTGTTGAAAAACCCCATGATAATCCCATTAAGATTGAAAAATAGTTTTGTTGTTGAACCTCTATGGCATCTCTGGTCATTTAACAATTCCCAAGAACTAGAGTTTTTCAGGATAATACTAGTTAATGTTTGATTAATTGAACGGGACATTACTTATTTTTCAATTTGATTAATTGAACAAGACACTTTTTTCTTTTTTTGATTTGATTATTTGAATAATTTTTTTTTTTGTGTTCTTGACAATACCCAGCATTTTTTTACTTTTTTATTTTTACAATGGCACATATTATTTTGTTCTTGTTTTGCTCTATTTGTAAATAACAACACAATAAGAAATAATGATATTGATGATAATTGTGAGTTTTAGTAGAATGGATTTTGGAGTTTTGGAGTAAAGAAAAAGATGAAAATAAAATAATTGAAACTTGGAGAAAAATATTAAGAGCATTGAATATGAAGAATACGTATAAATAATTAGGGTGTACTATGAGAAAAAATAATATCTTATTTTATGGTTTAATTGGTATTATCTTTATTAATAAATTTATGTTAAAATATAATACGAATTAAAATTTTATAATTTTTATTGAGCGCAAATAGGATCACCTGTGAAAAAAGGGGAACTTACTGATAAGTCCCATGTAACAAGTTCAAAATCCAATTAATCCCAAAACAAAATACTTGCACCAATTAGTCCAACACATTTTTAATTGTTACCAAAAAATCCTTTTTTTTTTAAAAAAATTTACAAACACTGTTACTTAAAATTTTATAATTTTTATTGAGCGCAAATAGGATCACCAGTGAAAAAATCAGATGTGAAATACATATGAAAACGTCCACGGGCCACTAAAATCTCCAAAGCCCAATAAAAATGTATAACGCGTTAAGAGAAACTTCAGTGTTTAGTAGTTATTCGTAAATTCTTATTAATATGTAGTGATGCCTTTTAGGCCAGGTGAACATCTCCAACGGTAGTAGGCATTTTACCTATTTAAATATTATTATAAAGTATATATTTTATTTTGCCTATCAACTGTTTCATATTTTTATTCCAACTATACTCTTTGTTTTAGCTATTCATCAAAATACTATTAACTTTATAGAATGCCACGTCAACAACAAAGATAGAGGGAAATGATCCTAATAATTAAATACATTTTGCCTAACCTTGAAGGCTAGCTACATGTAACTAGTGAATGTGAGTTGAGCCAAAATGCTTAATCATATGCTTAGTGCATTGGAGTTGAAAAAAATGAGTCACACTAGGCATTTTGACTAACAAACATTACATGCTTGGTGGGTTGGAGATGCTCTTAAACAGCCTATGACCAATTGTTATAATATAAACCCCTCTTATCTTCTTTTTATTATTAAAATAATTAAGAAAAAAATTATACTTTCAAAATCCCTTCATAATTATAAAGTCTTGTATAAAAGACAAAATTTATTATTTAAATATTTTATCAGACTATTGTACTCTCAACTAAATCTTCTCATCCCTCTGTTTTGTTCCTCTTTCTCTCTTCTTAGTCTTATCATTATCATCTGCAACTACTTCCTTCGCCGAGCTCAACTCAGACGTCACGTCCTCCGCCGCTCACATGTGAGGTTAAGGTTGTTTTTGATCTGTCTCTGAACAGATCTACCTCTCTCCATCGCCGCCGATTTGCCTCGTCACCATCACCCTCACCGGTCCTCCACAACCTCAACTTCTTCTACTCTCGCTCTTCTTCAACTTCGGAAATCGAAACAACACTGTGCTGCTGTTATTGTTGCTGTTGAGTCACTGGCCGAAGAATACTATTCGTGGAGATTTTCCACTCGAATGCTTGGAAGACAAAGCAGCGAAGGTAGTTATAATACCTCCGAGAACATGAATCTGAGTTGTAGATGTCGCATTGTTGTTTCCAATTGTTTTTTTAATTTTTTTTATTTGTTAATAAATCTAAGAGTAAAATTTGACTCTGGTTTATTCATTTAGTATGCATTTTATTTTTTATAACAGTAAAATTTTACTTTGGTTAAAAACATATTGATTGGCTTAACGATATAAAATTTTATTTTGAATCATAGTAGACTTTACTCTGAAATACATTGTGAGGATGACTTAATAGGAAAGTTAATAGATATAAGGGTAGTATAGTAAGAGAAACAAATTTTAAAATATAAGGGGGTTTTGAATGTACCTATATAATTCTTGTCCTTTTGAAAGATAAATTAGACA